TGGGCATGGATAAGTGTACAGTAGACTGTGAGTGTAATGCGGACATGGATAAGTGTACAGTAGACAGTGAGTGTAATGTGGGTATGGATAAGTGTACAGTAGACAGTGAGTGTAATGCGGACATGGATAAGTGTACAGTAGACAGTGAGTGTAATGCAGGCATGGATAAGTGTACAGTAGACTGTGAGTGTAGTGCGGGCATGGATAAGTGTATAGTAGACTGTGAGTGTAGTGCGGGCATGGATAAGTGTACAGTAAACTGTGAGTGTAATGCGGACATGGATAAGTGTACAGTAGACAGTGAGTGTAGTGAGGGCATGGATAAGTGTACAGTAGACTGAATGTAATGCGGGCATGGATAAGTGTACAGTAGACTGAATGTAATGTGGGCATGGATAAGTGTACAGTAGACTGTGAGTGTAGTGCAGACATGGATAAGTGTACAGTAGACTGTGAGTGTAGTGCGGACATGGATAAGTGTACAGTAGACTGTGAGTGTAGTGCGGGCATGGATAAGTGTACAGTAGACTGTGAGTGTAGTGCGGGCATGGATAAGTGTACAGTAGACTGAATGTAATGCAGGCATGGATAAGTGTACAGTAGTCTGTAAGTGTAGTGCGGACATGGATAAGTGTACAGTAGACTGTGAGTGTAGTGCGGACATGGATAAGTGTACAGTAGACTGTGAGTGTAATGCGGGCATGGATAAGTGTACAGTAGACTGAATGTAATGCGGGCATGGATAAGTGTACAGTAGACTGAATGTAATGCAGGCATGGATAAGTGTACATTAGACTGTGATGCTGTTTTCAGTAAGGGTCTGTTCCAGGGCACTAGTCATCCATCAAACAACACGGGGGTTTAAGATGTTTGTCCTAAGAAGTTTTTAGTCATCTCTGACGACCGTTAAAACCCACCCCTGCTATAGGAATGACACCATGTCTTCCTAAAGTCAGTTGAATGGCTTTGTATCGTAGAGTGCACAGACATCCAATTATATGCCATTAGAAGCAGATGTCTTCTTACTCTGATGAACGAGGTTTGTAATCTGGGTCCTCCTCCCACATGTGGCCTTCCTGATGAAGTTAGTGACCTCTACCTGTTCATCTTGTTTCATATCTGAGTGTTCCTCTTCTAGATGTGTTGACCAGCATGGTTAACAGAGTTCTTTCTGCTAAATGGACTACCTGCCAGGGTTATCAAATTACATTTACCTGGTTTGAAATTATAAATTTAATTCTAGATGAGCTGACAAGGCTATCAAGTCCCATCTACTCAGATTTGGAATCAGAGTTTTTCCTTCTCCAAGATGGCTGCCAACCATGGATAATGAGCCCTCTTTACCCAGTGCATCTTGTACTAAGGTGCTGAACACTGCCTTTTTCACCTCCACTTTTAGTGAAAACACTCCCTCTTGCTGAAAGGCCAGTGGTAGGAGCTTGGTTGTCAGAAGTTGTATGTGATGTGGGCCATAATAGGAGAGTTTGTTAGCATGGATTCTTCCTACCACCCTGACATTGACAACCCATTTTAGGGTGATGTTTAAAGATACGTCAAACTCAAATGTTCATGGAATCTTAGTTAGGTTAATGTTTAAAGATACATCAAACTCAGATGTTCAAATAATCTTGGTTAGACTAATGTTTAAAAAATACCACAAACTCAGATGTTCATTTGGCAGTCAAAGTTAGGCTAATGTTTGAAGTTACCTTAAGAACAGATATTCATGGAATCTTAGTTAGGCTAATGTTTAAAGATACATCAAACTCATATTCGATGATGAGGAACCCACTTTGAGACTAATAATGGCTGGAGACGGCTTGAATGGGTAATGAAGAAAAACTTTAATATAACTTTTACATAACAGCAAATGTACTTTCTTAATGTTTCAACAAGGTTTTGTCATCATCAGGTACAAGTAATTTACACTGACACTGATATATATATATACTATGGTTTTTTGAGTTGCAATGGTGAAAAACACGGGACGGTTTGTTATTGTGTTCTGTCAATCTGGTTTCCAATTTTCTTCCTGTTTCTCCGTTGTAGAATTCTGGGCAGTTATTGCATGTTATTTTGTAAATGACGTTGGTATTGTGTGATTCTAAATAATTTTTGTTTAGTAACGATTTCAGTTT